TCAGAGAATGTCATTTAAAAGGATCATGTGTAACAGAATTTAAGCAATAAACTACCAGACCAGTAAGCATGCCTCCAAGCCACAAGTTCAAACCACTCTGATCCCCAAACCAAGCAACTTCTCTAGGAAAACATCTCACCCATTCATTCAGTCAACCCATATTTATTACACTACATGTCAAAGGTACCACAGTAGACCTTAAGGAAGCATCGTGTTAATTTTCTATAAAATTTTTGTCAATTTTCTGTAAATCTAAATTTATTTCAAAATAAAAAGTTGAGTATTTTGTAGGCATGAGATCTTACCATTTCAACCACGTTATGAAAATGACTCATTTGGGCTAGGTATTATAATTTTCTTATTAGGAGAGATTATTCAATGATGTCAAATTCAGAATCTCAAAACCCAACTCTTACTGAATTACAGAAGACATAACTAGAAAACGAGTCAGTGACTGAAAAGTACACTTGCGAAACACGACACGGTAGTCTGTTAGCAAAGATATACACACTCCCAAAAAGACATAAAGCAATGATCATAAAGCAATGGCCCACAACACAAATAAAACGACTGAAAACATAAAATGTCAAGAACTGGACAAAACCAACTGAATCAATATGCGATAAAATTATGACTTGATGAATGTCTGTGGCCAATTTTTATGAGTCTGGCAAAAAAGGCTTTTCATTAGGTAAAAGTTGGATTGGTTGAGTTACATACCCAGATTTCAAGTCAGTTATCCTCAAACAGTTTGTAGCATCCAGTCCCACTTTTCCATTGCGGACCACACTAGATATAAATGGGGAGAGCATTGGAGAAATTCGGTTCAAGGCCACTTCTGGGGACATTTTAACTTCGACTTGCAAATCACCACTGAAAGCAAAAGGAAAGAACGGTGATCAGAGTATCCAAAAGAACTACATACACCAAGCTCCCTGAAAACCGGCACAGCACACACAAGTTTCTCTTGCATGAATAAATACCTCATTTTCCTGTCTTAAGCAGCCTCTCCCGATGAAATCATCTCCCTGCTATTCACCTACTTAGGACAGAGACTACACCACTGCTTTTCAGGAACAGAGGCAACCCTTGAAATCCAATTCCCTCCTCCTTTCCAAAGTTGATTTCTACAATGCTACACTCCACTTAAAACTCTCCCATTCAGCTTGCAACTGGCCGGTTCTACTTTAGTTGAGGCCTTAAGAAGCCTTCGCTGACAATCCTCTCCCTCTTAACACACAAAACCCACACACCAGTAGGTTAGGAATCCTCGCTTTGTGAGTAAGAACTTGGCTGATAATACTATATAAAAACCTAGAACAAGCATAACCTGCTTGCAAGTCACTTACTAGAAATTATTTTCTTCTGATATACTTCTCTACGTAATTTTCATAACTGTTACTGCACAGTGTATTATAACCACTGGAGAGAGATCACAAACTAAACACTCAATAAGCATTTTTAAATAAATAAATAAATAAATAAATAAATAGACAAAAGCTAGAGAAATATTCAGGTATATAGAGAAGATAATATGCCCTCAAACACTTGGTAGAGGATAGCATATCTAAGGAATAGATGCAGCAAAAATCTACTTAACAATTAAATCATGAAAACATATACCTGTCCAGATATTCAGCAACACAAACTAACGTGGATCTAGAAGTCTTTGACTATACTGTAAGGTGCTTAAGAAGTCCTTAAACTTGAAAATACAAAAGTAAAACCAATAAATCATATCTAAACTACTTGGAAACCCATGGGGCTGGGGGAGGGAGTACATGAATTCCTTTTAATAGATCTCTAAATGAAAGCCTCTACTTTCAGAGGTGAATAAGTCAACTTAAATGATCATTTTCTTTCTCAATCTGAAAGGATAATCCCACATCTAAAGCAACTAATTACCTGCAAGTTACAAGTAAATGATGTTTTGCTTCTAGTTTTCATATATTATACCACATGAGGACTTAGGTGTCCCTGCTACTATAAATGTTGAAAACTAGTACCTGTTTTAATAATTTCAGACAGTAACAAAGGTAAGAACTACAGTGATCTTTCAAAAAATAATAATACTGTGACCCTTCTGGGTGATGACACTCAGAAGTATCTTGGGCATGTACCTTCGCTGCAGGCTCCTCCTCAGCCCCGGCCCTGGTCAGGGTGCGTGCAGGAGGCAACCAATCAATGTGTTTTGACATTTCTCTCTGTCTTTCCCTTTCTCTTCCACTCTCTCTAAAAATCAATGGAAAAATACCCTCGGGTGAGGGTTTAAAAAAAAAAAAAAGCTTCCATATACATTATTGCAGTTGATCTTCATACCCCTGGGTAGTAAGGAATTCCCATTTTAAAGATGACACAGATAACTTTTATAATGCCTTTGAAAAGTATACTAATCTAAAGTATCATTTTGAAACCTATTTTTTTTCTATTCTGCAATGTTTCCACTTTTTTTTCTAACGACTGATGTCACAGTTCTTGAAAGGATGATTACCTAAATCATATGCAAATACAAAAATACTTATCCAGGAAAAAAAACTGAAGGACCTCACCTACATTACAAAATTATTCTTCCTCTCCCTGGTCTGTGTTTCTTAGTGGTTAGAGCGTCGGCCTGAGAACTGAAGGGTCTCAGGAAGGGTCTCAGGTTTGATTCCTGGTGGAGGACATGTACCTGGGTTGCAGGTTCATCTCCAGCCCCTGGTGAGTACATGCAGGAGGCAACCAATCGCTGTGTCTCTCTTACACTGATGCTTCTCTCTCCCCGACCTCCCACCTCCTTTCCACTCTCTCTGAAAATCAATGGGGAAAAAATATCCTTGGGTGAGCATTAAAAAAAAAATTATTCTTGTTTTTCCATAATTTTAATTATGGGACATATCTATTATAATTGTATCTCTCATTTCTATGAAAAATGAAAATAGAACATTCTGAACATCTATTCAGTATCAAGCACTGTCCTACCCACTTCAATCTGTAATCTCATTTACTTCCCCTGAACAATCCTGTCCTCTGTTTAATACTAGTTTCCACTTCATTAGTGGATAAGAAAACTAATACTCAACAAGACTAACTTGTTCAAAGTCCCCAACCTAGCAAGCTGAAGGATCAGAATTCAAATCCAGATCCCCCTCAAAGTCCACTATTCTCATTTTCCTCTCAAATAAACATAACTTCAATCACCAAAGAGAAAAGCATCGAAGTGAATTTTTTTAAGTATACATCTCTTAAAATTTGGACAAAATGGCATGAATTTAGACTCATGGTTGCTTTACAACTAGAAACAACTACTGTTTGCCTACTGCTGAAATTGGCCTGACTGACTGCACCAATCAAATGCTAGAGGGAGAAGAGATAAACCAAATAACTCATATGCATAGCCCATGCACACGGGCAATAGGGTAGCGAAGACCTGAAAGGGAGGATGGGGGGGGGAGGCGGGAGATATCTGTAATACTACCAATAAAAATACATTTTAAAATGCTAAAGGGAATAAACCTACTCCAGAAACCAAACTATACTTAAGGTTGACAACAACCCATTCCATTTCAGCAACTGTCATGACCTTAGAATGACACCTGAAGGAATGAATCTGTCTTTGTTTCCAGAACAGCCAAAATACTATCTTCTGACAGTTCAAGGTTTCATGCAGTGTTAAAATCTGTTTCAAGCGTGAGGTGCTGTGACTGCTCTAAAGGAGAGGGGAAACTACTCCAAAATCCGAGGTCACGGAATGATGATGGTCTTTTGGTGCGGCCCTGTTGAGCCAGGGGCATGGCTGCGGGGGATCACCCCCCCACACACACCCCACCCCACCCTCCAACCCCAGCAGCTTTTACACATCTCAGCACTAACAGATCGCAGGCAGGCAAAACTTCACGGTGGCCAGCCTCCCCTGAATGCTAGTTAGGCCATTTGTATTTCCTGACTTTGACATATTACAGAAGGAAAATGCAGCAATACAGTTTTTACAGGTGTCTGCTGCCTCCAACTGAGGTCACATCAGGTCCTTTGATCGGCCACCTGGGGAATACAAAGACGTCTAAAGCGTTGTCCAGTTTCTTGCCATTAAGATGGGATGACAAACACGGAAACATGTGCCCTGCTGACGTCACGGAACGGAAAGGGGTAGCGTCCAGCTGCGTCACGTCAACGTCATGGGCGCACGAGGCAAGTTACACGGGGGGGAAGTCATTTCTCCGAGGGACAGCACTGAAGAAAAACAAGCCGGCTCCGACCCACAGAATGATCACCCCAATTTAGGAGCCATTTAAAAGGGGCACTCTCCCTTCTCCCAAATTGTATGACCCCCTCATCACGCGGGAAAGAGGGAGAAGTCAGGTTAATCGGGGACCGGGGGCGGTATAGACGAGGAGAAAGAGTAACGCCTGGCCTGGAGGATGCCGTTCTTGAGGGGACCGGCGTGACGGGGACGAGCAGGGCATCTTTGGAGCCGGGCCTTCTCTACAGGAAGGGGAGGCGAGCTCTGGGCACGGCCCTCGGCACCACCTGTGCGACTCGGGGTCCAACCTCCCCACACCAGCCCCAGTCTAGGTACCTGGAACTTAGTCCGTTCGGTAACCGGCGACTACGTGGGGTACAGGTTACCCGAGCGCGCCCCCGACCGACGCACCGCGCTGCGCGCGCACCGCGGGCCCTCTGCGTGCTCGTGCCCGGATGTCCGCCCCGCCCCCTCTGCGGCCCCGCCGGGCGGCGTGCGTGCCGGACGCCCCTAGCCGCGCTCTCGGAGAGGCGTCCCCGCGGTGCCTGAAAGTTCCCTGTCCGGCGCTTTCCCCGCTGCGGCGAGCGGCGCGGGGGCCGGGGACTATCAGCCGGGCCTGAGGCGGGAGGCGGGGCCGGGAGACAATTCCTGGAAGCACTGGGGGCAGCGGGTGGGCGGGGCGATTTCGGGCATTCAGGTGGGCGACCCGCCGCGGCCTCCGGAAGGCCCGGGAGTTAGGGAGGGTCGGCGCGGCGTCTCTGGCAACGGGGTCGGGCAAAGGGTAAAGGGCAGCTTCCTGGTTGGAGAGCACCTCGCTGGGGCCATGGCCGCGCGGGGGAAACCCGGGCGGCAGAGGCAGGAGGCGGTGGCGGCCGTGGTGGTGGTGGGCTCCTGCATGACCGACCTGGTCAGGTTTGTCCGGGGCCAGTACGCAGAGTCCGGCATGCGGGGGGGCGTGTGCGCTTCCCTGCGGAGGCGCGGGGGCCGTGCGGATGAATTGTGCTGGCTTTTGGGGTGAGCTGCGGGTTCCCCCAGCCCGCAGGGTGCCTGATGGGCTGCAGGAGGTAGGGTTAGTGTGTCAGGCCAGGGGACATTGTGGCCAGGGCGTCGTGAACGCGCTAATGGTCCTGGAAGCGCCTCCAAAGCCCTCCTCCTGGTTTCCTGGCCAGGCTGCTGAGCCCCGCTGAGCAGTCATTTTACCCCCAAGAATGTGATGTGCCTCCCTGAGCTGTTGGGAGGACTACATGAAGTAAAGGGTTTTGGCCCGGAACCCTATCCAAGCTGAAAAAGGCGATCAGTCACCTTTAGCCATATTGATTGTTGGCATCCCTGCAGCATTACATATTTACAACTTATTTTACAGCATTCTAGTAACCATGGATGGCAACACGAGTGTGAGTCAAATAAAACCCGGTAAACACAATGGCAACACGAGTGTGAGTCAAATAAAACCCGGTAAACACAATATATAATCCATTTTTAAAAATATTTTTGTCTGTTTTAAATATAGAGAGAGAGAGAGAGAGAGAGAGAGATAGATAGATATGGAAACATCAAAGATGAGAGACAATCGGCTGCCTCCTGCACGCCCACACTGAGTATGGAGCCCTCACCCCAGCCATGTGCCTTGACTGGGAACCCATCAATGACCTACTGGTTCATAGGTCGATGCTTAACCACTGAGTCACAACGGCTGGGCTACATCCATTTTTTAAAGTGATCAAATCATGGCCCTAGCTGGTTTGGCTCAGTGGACAGAGCCTCGGCCTCGTTTGGGTCAAGGGCACATGCCCGCGTTCAGGGCTCCATCCCCAGTGGGAGGCAGCCAATCAATGATTCTCATCATTTATGTTTCTATCTCTCTCCCCTCTCCCTTCCTCTCTGAAATCAATAAAAATATATATTTTTTAAAGTGATCAAATAATGAAAGAATGGTTGATGAGATTAGATAGGGAGAACCTTTCAATTTATCTTTTTTTATGAAAATGGCTTTTTTTATTATAAAAGTAGTATTCATTGTTTTAAAATAAGTAAAAGGATCAGGTATTCCAAGAAAATCGTACCACCCAGATTGCTTCAGTTTAATATTTGGTGAATAGCTTTTCAATATAATGCTATTTTTATATTATAAAAATAAAAAATGATCCGGCATTACTACAGTAAGACCTCATCTGTCCTGCAACCTTGCTTTTCCAGAAGATAGCAGAGAACCTAGAAATAAATAAAAAGACCTTGGGACAATCAAAACAAGTCACCAAATCCCAGCACCAAGCCACCTTTGTTGTTTTTTTAACCTGGAAAATAGTTCTAAGGTTTTCACATAACCAATTTAATCTTATGTAGCTTAAAATGTTTATAAGCTCAAATTTCCAGGCCAAAATTAGAAAAAATGGAGAGTCAAGGGGAGAGACTGCTAGAGATAGGTAATAGTGATTGCCCAAAACCTGAAAGTGAATGGGAGAGTGTAACAACAACCAACAAAAGAATTTGAAATGCCAGTAGCCTTTGTTTTTCCACAAATAATTGAGCTACCTTGTCAGACACTGTGCCAACATAGATGTCCTTCCTTTGGTGACAGCGCATAACATTCAGCCTAGTTGTGAAGAGGCCTACACATCTTTTTGTAGAGCAAGAGTCAGCAAATCTTTCTGTAAAGAGCCAGATAGTAAATATATAAGGTCTATTCTTTAAAAAAAAATTCTAAAAATGTAAAAACTATTCCTATCCCCCAGGTCTTGTAAAAACAGCCTGTAGGCCAGTGGTTCTCAACCTTCTGGCCCTTTAAATACAGTTCCTCATGTTGTGACCCAACCATAAAATTATTTTCATTGCTACTTCATAACTGTAATGTTGCTACTGTTATAAATCGTCATGTAAATATCTGATATTCAGGATGGTCTTAGGCGACCCCTGTGAAAGGGTTGTTCGACCGCCAAAGAGGTCGCGACCCACAGGTTGAGAACCGCTGCTTTAGGCCATAGTTTGCTGACTGTTCTCTAGAGCATCACTGTCTTACAGCCCACTATAGTCCCTCCTCAGACTACTACAAAAAATTCAAGAGGAAGGAACGCTTCCAAGCTCATTCTATGAAGCCAGCATCACCCTAATACCAAAACCAGGTAAAGACATCACAATGAAAGAGAATTACAGGCCACTATAGTAACTGGTGTTAGTCATATGACTCTTCAAGAAAAGACAATATGGTACCCGTTAAATTTTATATAAAAGTAGGGCATGTGTTTTTTAGAAATCGTTCCATCAAATATATTGAAAGCTTGTTACTTAAAGGAATAGGTCTTCAATAAACCTTCAGACATCTAAAATAATAGATTACTTAGAAAATCCATCTAGTGGAATTTTTACCATAGGTGAAGTTGCAGAAGAGTAAGAAAGCTAAACAGGTTTCCCAAGTAACCTACCTAAAAGTGTCAGGGTTAAAATTCAGAACCACTTTCTTGTTACACTACATAGGGGCTTTCTGTGAAGCCTGACCCTCGGACATTAAAGATAAATTACAGTACTTCCTAAAATGAATACTCTTTTAACGTTGGGGATGGTGGGATGTCCAAGACCCATGTTAGCATCTGTCAGGATTTTAAACTCTCATTTCAGAGCTAGAGGAACTTAGGAATTTTTATCCCAGCCCTTCAGTTTATAGATGAGTAAACTGAGTTCTTCATGGTGGATCAACTGTCTAATGTCTCTTCTCTTGCCATTTTCTCACCTTCATAAAGGTTTCTATTCCTCACATGAATCACTAGTAAAAATTTTATTCCCCTATAGACTCTCTCCCATGACTTTCCTACAAACTTCTCATGGTATCTGACTACTTCTGCCTCTGAAGATCTTTACAAAATACCTGAGTATGGGTTTTTGGTTAAAACCAAGCATCTGTGATAAACTTGAGTGTAGCTTTGCTAGTTATGATACATATCGGGATTGTATTAGTTTCCTATTGCTGCTGTAACAAATTAACACAAACTTAATGGCTTAAACAGTACAAATTTAATAGAGGTCAGAGGTCTGACACATCTCATTGGGTAAAATCAAGGCGTCTGTAAGGCTGTGTTCCTTTCTCAAGGCTCTAGGGGAAATCTGTGGGGGGGGTTTTGTTTTTGGTTTTTTGCCTTTTCCAAATTCTCATGGCCCCTTCCTCCCATCTCCAAAGCCAGCAATTGGTCAGTCAAGTCTTGCTCATATGGCATCACTCTGACACATTTCTGCCTCCCTCTTCTACATTATAAGAACCCTTGTGATTATATTGGGCCCAAACAGATAATTCAGGACAATCACCTTATTTTAAGGCATCTTATTAGCAACCGTAATTACCGCTTGTCATATAACACAACATATACATAAGGTCCAGGGATTAGGATGTGGACAACTTGGGGGAGGGGTTAAGCTTAAAGTCAGAAAGTTTTATACTACTTAGAACAGGGGTCCTCAAACTTTTTAAACAGGGGGCCAGTTCACTGTCCCTCAGACCGTTGGAGGGCCGGACTATAGTTTAAAAAAAAAACTATGAACAAATTCCTATGCACACTGCACATATCTTATTTTGAAGTAAAAAAACAAAACGGGAACAAATACAATATTTGTATTTGCATGTGGCCCGCGGGCCGTAGTTTGAGGACCCCTGACTTAGAAGATCATTGAAGCCTATCAGTCCATCATCCATGTTTTACAGATGAGGTAACTAAGAGAGGTTAAGTAACTCCTCCCAAATCACACAGCCAATTAGTGGCATAGTGACAGCTAGAATCCAGGTTTCCCAACTTTTATCATTCCATTTTATCATTCCACCTCTAACTGTCTGGTATTTATTGCCCTTTTCATCTACAGTTCATTTGAGAGCTTGTAGTCTGTACATTCATTAACTGATTACTTTGTAAGGTGATAAAGAACTAAGGATTTATAATTCTCAGGTCTAAAGATAGAAATAAAATAAGGAATAGTACTGAAGATACTAAGTTTAACTGTACACCCATGCCTATATTGTAGAATCACTAGAAATAAAACTACTTCAGCAACTAAGCCCTCATGGATGGCATCCAAGTCCAACTCACTTTATACATTACATTCCTGTGTGCCAGACACAGCTAATTCCATCAGTGAGCTACTTTTAATTCATTTCTAATTTTAGTCCTCTATGAAGAGCAGTAATAATTTTTAAAAAATCATTAGCTCATCTAACATGGCCAATAGTGAATAGTATTTAATAGCTACCTGTATTTATCATTCTTCTCTTCCTTCTTGAACACTCTTCTCTGAAGTTCCACATTGCTAACTCAAGCCTCTTCTTGTGGAAAATTAAGTCCATTCTTCCAAAGACAGATTGCCATGAAAAACCAATAACACATGGACTTTTTTAGGCATTAGGCTCACAGGTCTTGGCTAATCATGCTTTCACTAATAATCTTTATTTCTTATGACCTGTATCACACATTTTTTCAATTATTCATTCAACAAATATTTTACACTATGTGCCAAGCACTTTCCTAGCTGCAAAGGACACAACAATGGAAAACACAGCCAGAAACCCCTGCCTCGTGGAGCTTACATCCTAGTGGGAGAGACAGGATCGTGGAAATAAGTAAAATGCATAGAATGTAGATAAATGCTGAGGAGGAAATAAAGCACAAACGGGGGGCAGGAGTACTGATTTCAGATCATTGGCCAAAAGCCTCGCAGAGAAGCTGATTTTGCGTAAAGACCTAAAGGAGGAAAGGAAGCAAACCATACAGATACCTGGGGCTTCCCATTGGCAAAGACCCAGAGGTGGGACCATGCCTCTTATGATCAGTGAACAAGGAGCTCCGTGTAGCTTAAGAAAGTGGATGATTAAAAGACATTGGCTCATATCCTGAATGAAATGAAAATCCACTGGCAGATTTGAGCAGAGGAGTGACATA